ATATAAACAAACGATTTCATTTCGTCGTCGAAAGCGAGACGATACGCGCGTACCGCGAGGCGCGCGTCGATTTTCGCGAGTTTGATCGCCGTTTAATCGTGAGATCTTTGATCGCGCGACGAAAACGGATCGAATTATACTTCACGCTCCCTCCCCCGTCCCCCCTGACGTAGTAATTCCACTCATTTTTCCTTCGTTTTTTTAATTCTCATTAACGGAGATCGTTTTCTACCAGGATTCGCGTTAACGATATCGAGATACGGAGGATGGAACGTGGGAAATCCCTCGCTCGCTTTATCGTATCAAGCTTTTGTACAACGAACGCAGAGGAAATAATTTTTTTTCGAATAGAATCCGCCTTGGCTCAGTGTTATATATCATCGATCGCTACGATTTCCTAGATACTTGTATGTGTGTTCGCGTGTGTTCAATCAAGTTGGAATCCAGAACGTCCGCTTTCTAAAAACCGTAAGTAACGCAAGAAGAAGATCGTTGGATCGATTAAAGCGGTCCAAGTATAGAGGCGAAGGGAGGAGGGAGGGGGTATCGTTTCTTTCGTACCGCGATCGAGCTCTTGCTTCGATTATTCCTTACCCGTGGCTAGGAGTAATTCGAGTCCTTTTTCGAAGCCATTTGTCGAAGCGAAGCGGAAAAACCGATCGACAACGTTCGTGAATTCGTGATTCTTTGTTATTCGATTGTGTTGCGCGAATGCGATTGAAAAGTGAAAAGTGATAAAATATGATATTTTGTATTTCTTTCAGTGTATATGCATGAAATGTCGTCGCGAAATTCGCAACGTTTCATAAGTTGAAAATACGTACACGTATTTTTGTCCGTTTCGATCTCTTAAATTTTCCACAAATTTTTCAATGTTCGTCTAAACGTGATTCTGTACGAAATAAAACAAAAGGGGAGAAAAGAGTAGACTCGAATTAATCTGGGTCTTTTAAGTGCGGAATAGATTAATGGAAATAATGGAGGAAGGCATGGGACACAATGAAGGTGAACCAGAAAGAATAAACATCTAGCTCCGGAATGCGTGTATAATGTGCGGCGTATAATGTAAGCAATTACATCGTTGTTCGTTTTTAGATCGCGACTTCCGATATCGAAGGAAGGTCCTACGAAGGAACTTGATGCGTTTTTAACGAGAATAAAATGGTGGCGAGATAACGGCAATAATTAATTGTCCGGTTATCTCGAATTTTTATATCCCGGTTTTCGTTTCAACGCCCCGGCTATCGTCTTTAATGGATCGGAATACGTCTGTTAATTACGCTTTGTTTTTCCTATCCTATCAACTTGAAACTTTGGGGGGGCCCGGTAATGGCGGAATGGTGGAACGGCCGATATTGATATTCGATGGAAATATAACGGAACTTTGGAATAAGCTATTCCAATTCCATCTTTGGACGACTGGTTTGTTGAAATGTCGCTGAAACTTATCGATCACTTCCGCCCCCCCTCTTTCTTCTTTCCTTTCGTTCGAACTTCGCGACGCTTACGAGCCTAGTAGGGAAGAATTCGAATTTCGAATATTCTTGAAAGAATATTCGAAGAATTTCCTTTCTTTTTTTTTTTTTTTCCTTTTT